CGAACGGGACCGTGAACACACCCCTGGCGGCTTCCCTCAGGGATGCTGAAAATGAGCGCCTCGCTCGAGACATCCTCCAAATCTGCTCCGACAGCGAAGGATGTTGGGACAGACAACAAGCAAACCGCTTGAAACATCCCCACAAAACGGCCGCGAACGTGGCCGAGAAACCACCCCTCGCGGCTCCCCTTAGGGACGCGATCATGAGCGCCTCGCTCGAGACATCCCCCAAATCTGCTCCGAAAGCGAATGATGTTGGGACAGAAAACAGGCAAACCGTTTGAAACGTCCCCACAAAACGGCCGCGAACGGGACAGTGAAAGCACCCCTGGCGGCTCCCCTTAGGGATGCTGAAAACGAGCGCCTCGCTCGAGACATCCTCCAGATCTGCTCCAAAAGCGAAGGATATTGGGGCAGACAAGAGGCAAACCGTTTGAAACATCCCCACAAAACGGCCGCGAACGGGACTGTGAAAAACACCCCTGGCGGCTCCCCTTAGGGGGTCTGAAGCTAGCGCTTCGCCTGAGACATCCTCGCAATTTGCTTTGTGTGTGAAATAAATCAGAAAATTATTCCGACGGAAGGACCCCACATGATAATCCTTTTTGGGCGAATCTGGAAAATGCCCTCACCGTCGTCCTCGTGGTTGGTGAGGCGTCCTGGCTGTCTCTTCTGCGTATATTTCTTCTCGCCCTGGCGCGGGCCGCCCTCCCACCGCTCCTTACGTTGCCCCCGACCTCGCCCTCCTGTTTTGGCCCCGGACATTCAGAAAGTGGCCCGGGAGTGGTGTTCTGGGAACACGAAGAACACGAAGTGGTCTACAGTTTGCTCCGGGCATTCAAAATGTGGTCCGGGAATTGTGTTCTGGAAGCACGAAGAACACGAAGTGGCCTACAGTTGGTTCCGGGCATTCAAATTGTGGCCTGGGAGTGGCGTTCTGGCAGCGCGAGAGCCCCAAAGTGGCGACACTTACAGGAATTTGATGACCCGCTCGGATTAGTAACATGATCCGCGGGCCCCATAGGGAGGGTGCTCCCGTTTGAGATTTCCTCGCAATTCACTCCCAGACGAGGCCCAAGGCGAGTGAGTGAGTTGAGTCAGTGAGTGAGTGACTGGCTGACTGGTGATGATGATGATCATCACACTCTCTCACGCGCACAGTCATCATCATCATATGTGAGTGCTGATGAGTGAGTGAGTGAGTGAGTGAGTGAGTGAGTGGGTGTGTGTGAGGGATGATGAGTGAGTGAGTGAGTGAGTGTGGAATGAGTGATGGTAATGATGGTGGGTTCCTGTTCCTGCGCGGGGTGTCCAGAGAAACCAAGAAGCCCACTTTGGATGTGGGGAATGAAAAAGTCTGAGTACGAGCAGGTCTGAGTATGAGTAAGTCTGGGAACAAGTCTGAGTATTATTTAGTTTGGGCATGAGTGAGTCTCAGCATGAGTAACTCTGAGTAGGAGTGGGTCTGAGTATGAGTAGGTCTGAGAATGAATAAGTAAGTCTGGGTATGAGTAAGTCTGAGTGTGAGTCAGTCTGCGCATGAGTAAGTCTGGATATCAGGAGGAGAGGGGAGGGGAAGGAGAAGAAGGAGGAGAAGTCGGCGGCGCCCAAGAAATAACAATAACCCCTATCTTAGGATATGGGGAAACATTGGTTTTGCAATGTTTTCTCTCCGCCGCGCCAGCGGCCGAACCCTCGCGGGCGCGGCATGGAGAAAACGCTGTAAAATCTAATGTTTCCAATTCTCTCGGACTGAACCCCCATTGATGTTGCAAGCGGTTCGGCGCCCGAGAATTGGGCGCACGCTGTTTCCCATCCGCCGCGCCAGCGAGGGTTCGGCCCCAGAGAATTGGGAAATTAGCCTGGCGAAGGACCCAACCATATGCAGTTGTGAATGCCGCAATTGTGCTGGGTGGTGGCGGACGCATGCGGGCGGTGCCACTGGGACCTTCGGTGGAGCTCCCTATGGGGCCACGAAACGCTGTACTGGGTGGGTGAGACGCGGTCAGCAAGGGCCGTGCTGCATGGTGGCGGACGCATGCGAGCGGTGCCACTGGGACCTTCGGTGGAGTTCCCTACGGGGCCACGAAACGCTGTACTGGGTGGGTGAAACGCAGGCAGGGAGCAAGGGCTGCGCAGGGTGGTGGCGGACGCATGCGGGCGGTGCCGCTGGGACCTTTGGTGGAGCTCCCTATAGGGCTACGAAGCGCTGTTCTGGGTGGGTGAAGCGCAGGGAACAAGGGCTGTGCTGGGTGGTGGCGGACGCAAGCGGGCAGTGCCACTGGGACCTTTGGTGGAGCCCCCTATGGGGCCACGAAACGTGCGAGGGGTGTGCCAGAATGGGGTGTGGAACCGCATGCCAGCGCAGCCACTGGGGCCTTCGGTGGAGCTCCCTATGGAGCCACGAAACGTGTGAGGGGTGTGCCGAAATGGGGGGTGGAACCGCATGCGAGCGCAGCCACTGCGGCGTTCGGTGGAGCTCCCTATGGGGCCACGAGACGTGTGAAGGGCGTGCCGAAAAAGGGTGTGGAACCGCATGCGAGCGCAGCCACTGGGGCCTTCGGTGGAGCTCTCTATGGGGCCACGAACCGTGTGAGGGGTGTGCCGACATGGGGGGGGAAACCACATGCGAGCGCAGCCACTGAAGCGTTCGGTGGAGCTCCCCATGGAGCCACCCACGAAGCGTGTGAGGGGTGTGCCGAAATGGGGGGTGGAACCGCATGCGGGCGCAGCCACTGGGGCCTTCGGTGGAGCTCCCTATGGGGCCACGAAACGTGTGAGGGGTGTGCCAGAATGGGGGGTGGAACCGCATGCGGGCGCAGCCACTGGGGCCATCGGTGGAGCTCCCTATGGGGCCACGAAACGTGTGAGGGGTGTTCCAGAATGGGGGAGGGGTGTGCCAGAAGGGGGGGTGGAACCGCATGCGGGCGCAGCCACTGGGGCCTTCGGTGGAGCTCCCTATGGGGCCACGAAGCGTGTGAGGGGTGTGTCAGAACGGGGGGTGGAACCGCATGCGGGCGCAGCCACTGGGGCCTTCGGTGGAGCTCCCTATGGGGCCACGAAACGTGTGAGGGGTGTGCCAGAATGGGGGGTGGAACCGCATCCGGGCGCAGCCACTGGGGCCTTCGGTGGAGCTCCCTATGGGGCCACGAAACGTGTGAGGGGTGTGCCGGAATGGGGGGTGGAACCGCATGCGGGCGCAGCCACTGGGGCCTTCGGTGGAGCTCCCTATGGGGCCACGAAACGTGTGAGGGGTGTGCCAGAATGGGGGGTGGAACCGCATGCGGGCGCAGCCACTGGGGCCTTCGGTGGAGCTCCCTATGGGGCCACGAAACGTGAGAGGGGTGTGCCGACATGGGTGGTGGGGAGGCATGCGAACCCTGCCACTGGGGCCTTCGGTGGAGCTCCCTATGGGGCCACGAAACGTGTGAGGGGTGTGCCAGAATGGGGGGTGGAACCGCATGCGGGCGCAGCCACTGGGGCCTTCGGTGGAGCTCCCTATGGGGCCACGAAACGTGTGAGGGGAGTGCCAGAATGGGGGGTGGAACCGCATGCGGGCGCAGCCACTGGGGCCTTCGGTGGAGCTCCCTATGGGGCCACGAAACGTGTGAGGGGTGTGCCAGAATGGGGGGTGGAACCGCATGCGGGCGCAGCCACTGGGGCCTTCGGTGGAGCTCCCTATGGGGCCACGAAACGTGTGAGGGGTGTGCCAGAATGGGGGGTGGAACCGCATGCGGGCGCAGCCACTGGGGCCTTCGGTGGAGCTCCCTATGGGGCCACGAAACGTGTGAGGGGTGTGCCAGAATGGGGGGTGGAACCGCATGCGGGCGCAGCCACTGGGGCCTTCGGTGGAGCTCCCTATGGGGCCACGAAACGTGTGAGGGGCGTGCCAGAATGGGTGTGGGAGGGGGAGGAGGGGGGAGGAAAAGGGAGGAGGAGGAAGGAGGAGGAGGAAGGAACGCGGGGCGACGTTTTTTTCAAAACGAGGACCCAACACCACAGGATGGCTGGAAAAAATTAGCCTGGCGAAGGACCCAACCATATGCAGTTGTGAATGCAGCAATTGTGCTGGGTGGTGGCGGACGCATGCGGGCGGTGCCACTGGGACCTTCGGTGGAGCTCCCTATGGGGCCACGAAACGCTGTACTGGGTGGGTGATACGCGGTCAGCAAGGGCTGCGCTGCGTGGTGGCGGACGCATGCGAGCGGTGCCACTGGGACCTTCTGTGGGGCTCCCTATGGGGCCACGAAGCGCTGTACTGGGTGGGTGAAGCGCAGGCAGGGAGCAAGGGCTGTGCAGGGTGGTGGCGGACGCATGCGGGCGGTGCCGCTGGGACCTGTGGTGGGGCTCCCTGTAGGGCTACGAAGCGCTGTTCTGGGCGGGTGAAGCGCAGGGAACAAGGGCTGTGCTGGGTGGTGGCGGACGCAAGCGGGCAGTGCCACTGGGACCTTTGGTGGAGCCCCCGATGGGGCCACGAAACGTGCGAGGGGTGTGCCAGAATGGGGTGTGAAACCGCATGCCAGCGAAGCCACTGGGGCCTTCGGTGGAGCTCCCTATGGGGCCACGAAACGTGTGAGGGGTGTGCCGAAATGGGGGGTGGAACCGCATGCGAGCGCAGCCACTGCGGCGTTCGGTGGAGCTCCCTACTGGGGCCACACACACACACACACACACACACACACACACACACACACACACACACAACTTACAACTCTGCCTTGAAACCTGGGGGCCTTCACCCGCCTCTTGAACGCCCCCGAGTCTGGGAAAGGGAACCGCCGCAGGGACCCTGCCGGCTAGAGGATCGGCCAACTGCATCAGAATAGACGTTCGGAGATCCGCGCGGAGTTCTTGGGCTGGCGCTGTGGCGGCCGCAGCGCGCCAGGGGCGGAGCCGGAGGCGCCTCCAGGGGGGGCCCAGCGCCGAGCCACGAAAACCGCGCGGAGCTCCGAAAGTTTAAGCCTGTGCCCTTTTGCCGTCCCTCGATGGAGGAGCGCGAGGCCCAGCGGACGAGCGGAAGCAGCTCGGCGTCCTCGCGGTCCGAGCCGTCATAAACGGCCGAGATCTCCTGGCTTGCACTCCGCCGCTCCGCTTCCTCTCCGTGCCCCGGGCCCGCCGCGGCGGAGAGGCGGCCGGAGCACAGGGCGAGGGCGGCCACCGCGAGGCTGATGCCGAGGACCGGCTGGACGATGTACAGACGAGGAAGCAAAAACGGCACGACAAACTTCCGTGGGGTGCTGCACGGCATGCTGATGCTGACTGTGTGTCCGTGATGGCGGCGCACGTCCGACAGGGACGTGGCACGACACAAGTCTGATGGCAGGGAGTTTCCCGAGCGCTGCGGCGTACTGCCGTGCAGCGCCCGCCACCGAACATAGACTGTAAGAATTCTCAACGCGCGTCGCCCGTTTGGGGTTGACGCACACATGGTATTGGTTCCACCAACCCTCTGGGCGACAGGTGGTCCAACGAGATTCCTCTTCCCTCTTCCACAACCCCTTTTTCCCCTTCGAGGAAATGTTTATCACTGTTCCCTATTAATAAACACCCCCTCCCCCAGATGACCGCTAGCCAACCCAGAACCATGCGGGCACCCCCCCACCATTCCTTTTAACAAAAAAAAAAAACCATACAAAACACATTATGCCTGCAAATTCGGAGCATGCGCAGCCAACCCAATGTGGTCTCCCCCACCATCCCTGTCAAAAAACAATGCGGAGTACACTTGGCGGCGGCGGCGGCTGCGGCGGCTGCGGCGGCGGCAGCTGCGGCGGCGGCGGCGGCGGCGGTTGCGGCGGCGGCGCCGGGGGGGGGGGGAAGCGAACGGCGGCGGCGGGCGGCGGCGGCAGCGGTGTCGGCGGGCCGACGGCGGTGGCGGTGGCGGCAGCGGCTGTGGCGGCAGCGGCTGCGGCGGCGGCGGCGGCGGCGGCGCGGCGGCGGCGGCGGGCAGCGGCGGCGGCGGCGGTGGCGGCGGCGGCGGAGGCGGGTTGGCCCCCAGTAGTTGGCCATCCAAAGACGACTGCTGCATATGCTGCGGCTCGGGCCAGGTTCGGTTGCTACGTATTTGTTGGGAAGGCGGGTGGGAGTGAGCGAGACGGCTTGTGGACGGGGAGGGAGTCTTGATAATTGTTCCCTATTAATATATACACCCCCTCCCCCAGGCGAATGGGAGCCGACCGAAGTCCATGCGGGCCCCCCCCCACACCATCCCTTGAAATTATCCCGGCAAAACAACCGAAACGCGATGTGTAGAAGCATATCTGAAAGCATTCCCCTTAAGATTCAGATGAAAATCCAATTGTAGAATTCTGCTGTTCTCGCAGTCGTAGTCGCATTCGCGATGACAGTCGCAGCGGCAACGGCAGTCGCAGTCACAGCCTCAAACTCAGCCTGCCTCAGCCTCAGCCTCAGCCTGCCTCAGCCTCAGCCTGCCTCGGCCTCAGCCTCAGCCTCAGCCTCAGCCTGCCTCGGCCTCAGCCTCAGCCTCAGCCTGCCTCAGCCTCAGCGTCAGCCTCTCAGCCTCAGCCTGCATCAGCCTCAGCCTCAGCCTGCTTCAGGCTCAGCCTCAGCCTGCCTCAGCCTCAGCCTGCCTCAGCCTCAGCCTCACAGTCCTCTTCAGCCTCAAGCTCAGTCTGCCTTCAGAGCCTCGGCGTCAGCCTCGCCTGCCTCAGCCTCAGCCTTGCCTCGGCCTCGCATCAGCCTGCCTCAGCATTCAAAATGTGGGCCCAGGAATGGAGTTCTGGGAACTAGAAGAACACGAAGTGGCCTACAGTTGGCTTCGGGCATTCAAAATCATGCCCAGGAATTGAGTTCTGGCAACTAGAAGAGCACGAAGTGGCCTACAGTTGGCTCCGGGCATCCAAAATGTGGCCCGGGAATGGAGTTCTGGGAAATCGAAGAGCACGAAGTGGCCTACAGTTGGCTCCGGGCATCCAAAATGTGGCCCGGGAATAGAGTTCTGGGAACTTGAAGAGCACGAAGTGGCCTACAGTTGGCTCCGGGCATTCAGAATGTGGCCCGGGAATGGAGTTTTGGGAGGTCGAAGAGCACGAAGTGTGTGACTGTTTGCGAAAAACGAGTGCGGCGGCAGCCGCGGCGGCAGCCTGTCCGGGTACCGCCCAGACCCCCTCTGAGGAGTCATGATGCTCTCTTTTGAGACCACTAGAAACCTATCAGCAAAAGCTGTTAGGTAAAACTATCCCGGCAAAGCAACCTAACAGCGATGTGTAGAAGCATATCTGAAAGCATTCCCCTTAAGATTCAAATGAAAATCCAGTTGTAGAATTCTTTGTTCTCGCAGTCTTAGTCGCATTCGCGATGACAGTCGCAGCGGCAACGGCAGTCGCAGTCACAGCCTCAGCCTCAGCCTGCCTCAGCCTCAGCCTCAGCCTGCCTCAGCCTCAGCCTGCCTCAGCCTCAACCTCAGCCTGCTTCAGCCTCAGCCTCAGTCTGCCTTCAGCCTCGGCCTCAGCCCATCTTGTTCAGTCAGCCTGCGACGCGCAGCCAAGCCTCAGCCTGCCTCAGCATCGCCTGCTTCAGCCCATCTCAGCCTCCTCGCCTCAGCCTCAGTCCTTCCCCAGCCTCCTTCTGCCACCACCTCTCCTCAGTCCTCTCCTCCTCTCCTCAACCTGCCTCGGCCGCCTCTCCTCCTCAGCATTCAAAATGTGGAGGAGGAGGGAGAGGAGGAGGAGGAGAAGAAGGAGAAGGACCTCAGTTGGCTCCGGGCTTCCGCCTGCATGCCCAGGAATGTAGTCGGGAACAGCACGAAGTCTCGGGGCATCCTCCGGCAGGCCGAGGCGAGGATGGCTGGGTCCCTGTCCGGGGAGCCCTGAGGAGTCCCCAGTGCTATCGAGGAGGCCCGGCCAAACAGGAGGTGGTGACCACACCCCGCTGCGCAGTGTAACGTCGTATGGTCGCGAGGGCAAATCCGCCGTCCGCACCCAAGGCCTCAGTCTCCTCAGTCAGCCGCCTCGCATCACCGTCGTCAGCCTCGATGTCTGTCACTCAGCCTGCTTCAGTCAGTCGTCTGCCTTCAGCCTCGTCAGTCTGTCGTCAGTTCAATCGTCAGCCGCCTCAGTCGTCGTCGCCCCCTCATCTGTTCCAGTCGTGCGTCGGCCTCGTAGTCAAAAAAAACCTCCTCACCTCTGCCTCGTTACATATGTCGTTCTGGTCAAGACCACGAAGTTAGCGGCTCCCATCCAAAATGGCCGAGTTCGCTCGAAGTGGCCTACAGTTGGCTGCATCCAAAATGGCCCCTCGCCCAGGGCTCCAGCATCCAAAATGTACGCCGGGGATGGAGTTCTAGCAGCGCCAAGAGCGATTTTGCGAGGATGTCCCAAGCGATTTGGGCTTCGGCAGCAGCCGCGGCGGCAGCCCGTCCGGGTCCCGCCCCGACCCCCCTGTGGAGTCATCTGCTGTTCTCTTTTGAGACCACTAGAAACCTATCAGCAAAAGCTGTTGGGTAAACACAGCATGTTTCCAAATTCGGAGCATGCGATGCGGCCTCCCCCACCATCCCTTTCAAAGAAACAATACAGAGTACACTTGGCGGCGGCGGCGGCGGCTGCGGCAGCTGCGGCGGGGGCACCGGCTGCGGCGGCTGCGGCGGTGGCGGCGGCGGGGGCAGCGGCGGCGGCGGCGGGGGCGGTGGCGGCGGCGGCGGCGGCGGTGGCGGCGGCGGCGCGGCAGCGGTGGCGCTCGATGTGCCCCGGGCGGCGCCCTGCGGCGGCGGCGGCGGCGGCGGCGGGCAGCGGCGGCGGCGGCGGCGGAGGCGGCGGCGGCGGCGGATTGGCCCCCACTAGCTGCCCATCCAAAGACGACTGCTGAATATGCTCAGGCTCGGGCAAGTCTCGGGTGCTACGTATGTGTGTTGGGAGGGCGGGTGGGAGTGAGCGAGACGGCTTGCGGGCGGGAAGGGGGTCTTGATCCCTTCTGAGAGGCAGGGGGGCATCCAAAGACGACTGCTGCATATGCTGCGGCTCGGGCCAGGCTCGGTTGCTACGTATGTGTTGGGAGGGCGTTAGCTTGCCGGGAAACTCGTCACTGTTCCGTATTGATAAACACCCCTTCCCCCAGGCGACTGGGGGCCAACCAGGGTCCATGATGACACCCCCCCACCATTCCTTGTAAATTATCCCGGCAAAGCAACCTAACAGCGATGTGTAGAAGCATATCTGAAAGCATTCCCCTTAAGATTCAGATGAAAATCCAGTTGTAGAATTCTGCTGTTCTCGCAGTCGTAGTCGCATTCGCGATGACATTCGCAGCGGCAACGGCAGTCGCAGTCACAGCCTCAGCCTCAGCCTGCCTCAGCCTCAGCCTCAGCCTGCCTCAGCCTCAGCCTGCCTCAGCCTCAGCCTCAGCCTGCTTCAGCCTCAGCCTCAGTCTGCCTTCGGCCTCGGCCTCAGCCTCAGCCTGCCTCGGCCTCAGCCTGCATCAGCCTCAGCCTCAGCCTCAGCCTGCCTCAGCATCAGCCTGCCTCAGCCTCAGCCTCAGCCTGCCTCAGCCTCAGCCTCAGTCTGCTTCAGCCTCAGCCTCAGTCTGCCTTCAGCCTCGGGCTCAGCCTCAGCCTGCCTCAGCCTCAGCCTGCCTCGGCCGCAGCATCAGCCTGCCTCAGCATTCAAAATGTGGCCCAGGAACGGGGTTCTGGGAACTAGAAGAACACGAAGTGGCCTACAGTTGGCTCCGGGCATCCAAAATGTAGCCCGGGAATGGAGTTCTGGGAACTTGAAGAGACGAAGTGGCCTACAGTTGGCTGGAAGCTGGAGTTCTGGAAGTCCAAGAACACGAAGGGCCTACAGTTGGACGGGATGAAAATGTGGCCGGGAATAAGAGTTCTGGGAACTTGAAGAGACGAATGGCCTACAGTTGGACCAGGATTCGAATGTGGAGGGAATGAGTTCTGGGAGGCGAAGAGCAGAGAGGTAGTGATGTTTGCGCAAAACGAATGAGGCGGAGCCGCGGCGGCAGCCTGTCCGGGTCCCGCCCAGACCCCCCTGAGGAGTCATGATGCTCTCTTTTGAGACCACTAGAAACCTATCAGCAAAAGCTATTAGGTAAAATTATCCCGGCAAAGCAACCTAACAGCGATGTGTAGAAGCATATCTGAAAGCATTCCCCTTAAGATTCAGATGAAAATCCAGTTGTAGAATTCTGCTGTTCTCGCAGTCGTAGTCGCATTCGCGATGACAGTCGCAGCGGCAACGGCAGTCCCAGTCACAGCCTCAGCCTCAGCCTACCTCAGCCTCAGCCTCAGCCTGCCTCAGCCTCAGCCTGCCTCAGCCTCAGCCTCAGCCTGCTTCAGCCTCAGCCTCAGTCTGCCTTCAGCCTCGGCCTCAGCCTCAGCCTGCCTCAGCCTCAGCCTGCATCAGCCTCAGCGTCAGCCTCAGCCTGCCTCAGCATCAGCCTGCTTCAGCCTCAGCCTCAGCCTGCCTCAGCCTCAGCCTCAGTCTGCTTCAGCCTCAGCCTCAGTCTGCCTTCAGCTTCGGCCTCAGCCTCAGCCTGCCTCAGCCTAAGCCTGCCTCGGCCGCAGCATCAGCCTGCCTCAGCATTCAAAATGTGGCCCAGGAATGGAGTTCTGGGAACTTGAAGAGCACGAAGTGGCCTACAGTTGGCTCCGGGCATCCAAAATGTGGCCCGGGAATGGAGTTCTGGGAAATCGAAGAGCACGAAGTGGCCTACAGTTGGCTCCGAGCATCCAAAATGTGGCCCGGGAATGGAGTTCTGGGAAGTCGAAGAGCACGAAGTGGCCTACAGTTGGCTCCGGGCATCCAAAATGTGGCCCGGGAATGGAGTTCTGGGAAGTCGAAGAGCACGAAGTGGCCTACAGTTGGCTCCGGGCATTCAGAATGTGGCCCTGGAATGGAGTTCTGGAGGCACCAAGAGCGATTTTGCGAGGATTTCCCAGCGATTTCGTTCTGCTTCTGCAGGCACCGCGGCGGAGGCCCTGGTCCGGGTCCCGCCCCGAACCCCCCTTTGGAGTCATCTGCTGCTCTCTTTTGAGACCACCTAGAAACCTATCAGCAAAAGCTGTTAAGGTAACACTATCCCGCAAGCACCCAACAGCGTATGTGGTAGAAGCATATCTGAAGCATCCCCCTTAGATTCAGAATGCAAAATTCCAGTTGTAATTCCTGCTGTTCCGGGCGTCGTAAGTCGCATTTCGGCGATGACAGTCGCAGCGGCAACGGCAGTCGCAGTCACAGCCTCAAGCCTCGCCCCAGCCTGCCTCAGCCTCAGCCTCAGCCTGCCTCAGCCTCAGCCTCAGCCTGCTTCAGCCTCAGCCTCAGTCTGCCTTCAGCCTCGGCCTCAGCCTCCGCCTGCCTCAGCCTCAGCCTGCATGAGCCTCAGCCTCAGCCTCAGCCGGCCTCAGCCTCAGCCTGCCTCAGCCTCAGCCTCAGCCTGCCTCTGCCTCCGCCTCAGCCTGCTTCAGCCTCAGCCTCAGTCTGCCTTCAGCCTCGGCCTCAGCCTCAGCCTGCCTCAGCCTCAGCCTGCCTCGGCCGCAGCATCAGCCTGCCTCAGCATTCAAAATGTGGCCCAGGAATGGAGTTCTGGGAACTAGAAAAACACGAAGTGGCCTACAGTTGGCTCCGGGCATTCAAAATCATGCCCAGGAATGGAGTTCTGTGAACTTGAAGAGCACGAAGTGGCCTACAGTTGGCTCCGGGCATCCAAAATGTGGCCCGGGAATGGAGTTCTGGGAAATCGAAGAGCACGAAGTGGCCTACAGTTGACTCCGGGCATTCAGAATGTGGCCCGGGAATGGAGTTCTGGTAAGTCGAACAGCACGAAGTGGCCTACAGTTGGTTCCGGGCATCCAAAATGTGGCCCGGGAATGGAATTCTGGGAGCACCAAGAACGATTTTGCGAGGATGTCCCAAGCGATTTCGGCTTCGGCGGCAGCCGCGGCGGCAGCCTGTCCGGGTTCCGCCCTGACCCCCCTGAGGAGTCATCTGCTGCTCTCTTTTGAAACCACTAGAAACCTATCAGCAAAAGCTGTTAGGTAAAAACCATGCAAAGCACACTCTGCCTCCAAATTCGGAACATGCGCAGCCAACCCGATGCGCCCCCCCCCCCATCCCAATCAAATGATCCCGGCAAAGCAACCGAACAGCGATGTGTAGAAGCATATCTGAAAGCATTCCCCTTAAGATTCAGATGAAAATCCAGTTGTAGAATTTTGCTGTTCTCGCAGTCGTAGTCGCATTCGCGATGACAGTCGCACCGGCAACGGCAGTCGCAGTCACAGCCTCAACCTCAGCCTGCCTCAGCCTCAGCCTCAGCCTGCCTCAGCCTCAGCCTGCCTCAGCCTCAGCCTCAGCCTGCTTCAGCCTCAGCCTCAGTCTGCCTTCAGCCTCGGCCTCAGCCTCAGCCTGCCTCAGCCTGAGCCTGCCTCAGCCTCAGCCTCAGCCTCAGCCTGCCTCAGCCTCAGCCTGCCCAGCCTCAGCCTCAGCCTCAGCCTGCCTCAGCCTCAGCCTCAGCCTGCTTCAGCCTCCACCTCAGTCTGCCGTCAGCCACACAGGAGGAGGCCCAGCAGCTGGTCTCGACGTTCTTCGTGGCCTTCCTGAGGCCGTCGCCGTCCCGAAAAGAACCGCTCAGCCGTACAGTCGGACCGAGGCATACGATCGAGGTCGGTTCGGGGAGGGTAGCCTAGTTTCCTTCGTGCTTTGCTGGATGCTCTCGTGCATCCTGGGGAGGGTACCCTTGGATTGGATGTTCTGTGTTTTTTTAAAGCGAAGGGTTTCGTGTTCTTGAGGGATGTTCTTCTGGCCTGCAATGAAAACCCATGCCAAGAAACACCCTGCTTGCCTCCAGGGTTCCCTGGGTTTCTTGGGCTTCGATGGTGTTGCTATGAAAACCGCGACGTCCCCACACCAAAACATCGATGGGCGTCCTGGGGTCTCAGGGTTGGGTTTCTTGTGGAAGGTTTCTTGTGGTCGGGCCCCTATTGCATGCAGCTTGTCTTACATTCGTTCGCCGTCGATCGAGGATTCAGAATCCAGGCTTCAGGACTCCCCCTCCCCCCTCCCTCGGCACGAGAGGGGGGGTGGCAAAGGAGGTGGCGAAGGGGAGAACGCGCAGCGCTGAGGGGGCCAAGGGCGGGGACGGAGGGATGGAGGCGCAGCACAGTCACGCTGTGCCCCTCGCAGAGCGCGGGGCAAAACCTCCTCGCTAGCAGCGGAGGAGGAGGAAACGGGGGATGATGAGGACGAGGAGGAGGGGGATCGGGCGGGGCGGGGACGAGGATGAATCCTTGCCAGAGCGTCCGGGAAGCTCTGAGAAGGCCGCGGCGCCCGAGACATTCTCCAGAGCCGCCAGACCTTTTGGATATTCTCGATTTACCCTCACCCGAATTTATCCTCTTCCTGGTTTCGTTTCAGGGTAAGGGCAACAGGAACAGCAGTAGAGGAGGTGTTAATAATCAGGCCCCTATGCCTGGCAGACGGTGCAGCGTTGCAGAACAGTTCTGCTACAGCTTGCCAGGACTGTGATTTAAGAACTCCAGTGGTGCAGTGTGGTCCGCACTTGTCTGGTTCAAAGCCGATTCGCCTCCAGGGAAAAAAGGTCCTATCATTTTTCATCGTAGCGGAGCCCATGGTTCGCCCCACGGGTCCCAGTGCACCCGGCTAACTCCACGAAGCAGTCGTTTCCTTGCCATGGCCGCGGCGGCAACCGCGACGGCCCCGCCGAATCTTGGTACAGCTGACACAGGTTTCGTTGTGACTTTAGCCGAGGTCTGAGAGAGCTGGTACAACCTGAGCACGAACCGATTCGCGGAACTGTGCAATCCCGGTTGCGAGAACGGAGTTACCAAGTATCTTAACACAGCGTTCAAAACCAATCATGAAGGGATGAGGTTGCTCTTCGACCGCACTGCTACGCTTGGCACCAGAAGGGCTGACAACGACAAGGCAATCACAACGCTGCAGATGAACTACAAAATGATTCCGTCCTTGGTATCAGTCATCAACCAACATGAAATACGAGGAACAATTCAATCACTTGAAAATCATGTTCGGACAGAATTCAACGCTTCGGAACATGTCGCCCATATCACCGAGGCCATACCGTCAGCTGGACATGCCCGGGCTGGAGGAGATGGAAGCAAACCCGTAAGCGAATACAAGGCGGCTCAACAGTTAAAAACGGTCTCGGGTGACCGGGCCAAATCCAGGGAATGGGGCGAACAATTGTTGAATGCGCTCGCCCAAGTGAAGCATGGTTGTTGGAAAGTTTCGAAACATGCAATCAACAAACTCGAAGCCACGGGTGGGGCGTTCCCAGACGACGAAAAGGACGACCTGATGAAGATATTGAACGTTAGGTTCTTATCCAGCCAATGCACAAAGGCGTCGCACATAAAAAACAGTAAAGGTGACGATAAAGAGAAGCTTCAGTTTGATGATGATGATGATGCTGGCGATGCTGACGACTACGCCAAGTTGGGCCAGGACCGCTGGCATTCGCTGAGTGAAAAATTGAATGGGAAGGAGCCCCGTGGAAAACTTACGGGCCTGCATGAAGGCGACGGCTTAATGGCATGCGAAAAGATATACACATGGCTTCCAGCCGTTATTGGAGTCACGCTCTCCCGCAAGGTGACCCTGGCCATGCGCAGTGAAAACCCAAGAGCGTTAACGATGTGGCGACCCAACTCGAACCGCGGAGTGCGTTGGCAGGGCCCTTGTAAAAGTATGGGCATGCAGATTCGTTAGCAGTGCCGTTCAGGGCTACTGCGTCGAGGGTTACCACGACTCACGCAGGTTGTTTGTTCGACGACAGGCAGCAGGATTGCCTCAACATTAGGTTCGCTCAATCTTGACTCCGACCAGAACGCTTCATCATGTGCGAAGACTAGGCGAGGAAGAACATGCTGGATGCCGACACATAAGACAACCATTATGGGGGTCGGCCACGTTAGCGATGAAGATATTGAGGGATGGGGCACAGGCGCATGCGGTCCCGGTTATTACGACGAAAGCGGAAGTTGGTGGATTTGGACCGCGGCAGACGCGCGTGCAAATGGCGGCGCGAATGAGGCGGGCAAAGGAACGGGCGGAGGTAATGGGCCCGCGTGTTACAAGCGTGGAGGATATGGGCACATCTCACCACCGAAAAAAAAAACGACATGAAAAGGAGGTGGGCAAGGAGAATGCAATGGGGTCGCGGGCTGCCACGGAGCACAGGAAGAAGGGCCCAAATAAGGGAGTCAATGCGCCAACAAAAAAGTTCGCCCTGGGGGGCGCGGCAAGGGGGTCTAGACAGGGGGCCCCCAGGGAGGCCACCAAGAGAGCCAAGCCCCAGGCTGGAGAGCAGGAGGCAGGGGGGACTTGCGCCGGTCAGTGAGAGGAAGCGTTGGCGAAAAGGGTCGCACCGCAGCCCGTCGCCCCAGGAGCGCCCGCGAAGCAGCCCCAGTTTAAGGGGGGGCAGGAGGCGATGGGGGGGGCCCGCGCAGATGTTGGGGCAACCCTCACCTGGATCAGGGTGCCGCAGCGTCGAAATAGGCGGGGCAGCTGACGCAGGTAGAGTTGCCGGCCACGTCGCAGCACGTGAGCCGCTTGGAAGGGGCGCAGGAGTGGAAGACGCAGCGCCAGGAATCAACCATGAAAAACGGGGCGGCGAGGTCCAGATGGATAAGTCGAATGCAAAAGTACGCTGGGCTGCAGCTGGTAGAGACGGATGGGCTCGACAACGAAGTAAGTGGAAGTAAATGAAGTACCGGCGAGGGACCGCGAGAGCGGCGTGGAGACGATAGTAGTTGCCGTGGTTTCAGGTGCCCACGACGCCGCTGGGCCACCGGCCGCGGGGGGCCATTTCCTTTTCGAACAACCCGCCCATCCAAGTAGCCGGCTTTGAACAAACAGTCGGGTTTGGACGCGAAGTGGTAGAGGAAGGGGGCCGTGTAGTTTCAGATCGAGACAGCGGCGGCGATCTCGCAGTTACCTCGAGCATGAAACAACGGGGCAGAATCCGACGATCCACGAAACAATGAGAGCTTCCAGTCTACCACGCGGGCCCCGAAAGGCGCTGCGGGCCAGGGGGGGGGGGGGCGAAGAAAGTCGTGGAAGTTAGCGATGGGGGGTGGCAGTTTTTTTTTGCGGGCGGGGAACTCGCATGGCGGACCTATTATATTTGTTGAGTCCGAGCGAGCCCGCGAGCTCCAGTCGAAATCCAGCCGTCGTGGATTTGGGGGAAGACCGAGAGGTCGGGGGCGGGGGCAGTGAGTGAGTGGCGCGGAGGGCGCGTTCGTCGGCGAGGAGGCCGAGGCACCTAAAAGGATCGCGCGGGATGCGAGACCGAGCAAAGTGCAAGTCGACTCACGTGATCAGGCTGACTTACCCCGCCGAAGTCAGCGCCCCCACTGCGTTGGAGGAGGGGTCTGGGGGAGATCCCGCCAGGAGACGTTAAGGATAGATGGGGTTGATTTTTTCTTTGAACACCCCGCGGGGTCCTCGAGCCGGGCCGCGTCGCCAGCGAGGAGAGGGCAAAGCGCGAAGGCGCGCGCGCGGGGGCGATCTGCCGCGGCGCGATCCGGGGCAGGTTGCGCAAGGAGAGGAAATACTCTCGCAGAAAAATGTTATGCCCAAGACTCGCGGCCCCTGCGTCGGAAGGGCCCGCGGCGCAAAATGCCAATGTCAGCGTCGACGCGGGAAAAAGTTCTCCTCCGGGACAGGGTTCGTTCCCCCTGAAAAGGGCTCGTTCTCCGGGTGAGATGGGTCTCGTGCCGGGTTGGTCAGTCTTCTGGGCGAAGCCCTCGCAGGTTTTCCCGCCCCCCCCCCCCAACAAAAAAAAAAACGCCACAAACCAGACGCCAAACACCGGCCCCCAAACACCAACCCCCAAACACCAACCCCCAAACACCAAACACCAAACATCAAGCACCAAACAGCAAACATCAAAACACCAAACACAAAACACAAACCACGAGACACCAAACACCGCGCCAAGCACCAAACACAGAACACCAAACACCAACCGCCAAACACCACGCACCAAACACCGAACACCAAACACCAAACGCCGAACAGGCAACACCGAACACCAGACACCAAACGCCGAACACCAGACACTGAACACCAGACACCAGCCCCCAGACACCACATCCCAACCACTACCCCAACCATTATTATTATTACTACTACTACTACTACTACTACTACTACTACTGCGACTACTACTACTACTACTACTACTACTACTACTACTACTACTATTACTACTACTACTACTGCTACTGCTACTACTACTACTACTACTACTACTACTACTACTACTACGACTACTACTTCTACGACTACTACTATTGCTACTACTACTACTACTACCACTACTACTACTACTACTACTACTACTACTACTGCGATTACTAATGCGACCACTACTACTACCACCACCACTTCTTCTACTACTCCTACTACTACGACTACTGCTGGTACTTTAAAATATTATTTATTAACTATCAACTACTATTACGACTCCTACTACGACGACTACTACGACTGCTACGACTACTACTACTGCTACTACTACTATTACGACCTACTACTACTGCTATTATTACTACTACT